TTTTATTTATTGTTCACGATTTTAGAACAATCAAATCAATTTGTCGTACAAACCTATTAAGTTTCAAAACAGTGCCGCGGCGCGTGGTATGATACCTCTATAGACAGATGACAATAACTTTGTCATTAGAAAAAATACACAGAATGACACTTAGCGCGTATCATACCCGACTAATTACTGTATACTGGGAAAGTTAACGAGTCCGAAATTTCGAAATCGTTTTCTTGTCTACAAACCTGATTTTCTGTCTAAGTATGGCTTATCTAGCGTTCTCATTCCGTTACAATGTTTACATACTTCCATACATAAGGATTACTTACTTTGTAACACTTCATGAGAAATACAGTTCATAATGATAGAAGATGTAGTTTATACTTTATAATGCTAATGCATGCAATGCATTGTAAAAAAACAGGAGTTAAGAACTATGTCACACAGTTACAAAATTATTTTGATTTTTTGCATAATTTTGATTTTATTGTTTCTTCTTTGTTCCATGCTATATTTTTACCCGACTGTAGGAAGGGTATTGTTCAAAATAAATAAGAATCCTTTGTAATTAGGCATGTAAATATAATAACAGGCTGTTAATGACTTTGTTGTTTGCCATAATTGTCGTTGAAGTAGCCTAAACTCTCAAATACATAATCAAAGTAGGAAAATGACCTAATTTGAACAATGTAAATTGAATTATTTTCTGTCGATTTAAGTACAGCAACTATGTAACATAATGTCACATCACAAATTGATGTACTCTTGCAATGTACCTACTTAGAACACGTTTCATTTCAACATACTTACCTACTTATTGAAATGTAAAAATATATCAGCCATGTTGAGTGTCATGATTGATCTAACTAGCTGTCAAGGCAGGGTTCTCTCACAAGTGCAGGGGGACATCGTAAGTAATAGAATAATGAGACTGCACTTCAAACCATTGTCTTCATTGTGCAATGATTACTGGCAACCAATAATACCTATGTATTATGTATTCCATACTGGAACATTGCGCTAACAGATGTAATATATTCTGTTTTTTCGTATTATAAACTATTGTGAGAGATATGACCCAATTGTTATTTAGTTTTCTCCATTTATTAAGTAAGTAAGTAAGTTGTATAATTATTTCACTTAAATTAGATCAATTAACTTAGCTATTTAAATCTTTACGCTAAAAATGTTTGGTATACTTGCTGCGATACAAACAATATTTTAAATTTTGTAACTAACGATTGTTGGGGTGGGTAGCTTTTCCACTCCATGTGACTCCACCCTTCTTACACCTAAATAACTGACCTTAGAAACACGTGTATTAAGGCTACACTCATAATTATTATATTGTTGTTTTTTTTTCGTTAGATATGATTTGCATATTATTATAACTTTATCTTTAAATACTAAGTTTTAACGAAATTGATGTACCAGTGCTTTGTGAAGCATGAAGATATAAATGCAATTACCATGTTAACTCGTTGTTAAAAATTGGCACTTGATTTCAATAATTATACTTAAGTATGTTTAATGTGTATATTTATTTACATAGACTATCATAGTCATGTTTTTTAATTATTTTTATCTAAGTTGGCTATTAACCCATCGTGTGTCTAAATATGGACCCACACAAGACACAATTTTTTTTCTATTGTGTCTCGTATACGGGCATTCAAGCGGTTAAACAAGAGATGAGATTAGAAGAACTTTAAATTTGGTAGAAAAACAAGTTGTTCTTAATTTGTGTTTTTTTGGAGTATGTTATAAAGCTGCTAATTGATTATATGCATTTGAAATTAAATAATTCTAGCAGTTATACCCAAGTATCATTCTAGAATAACTGTTAAGCTAACAATGAGGAAACAATCACTGATATTTAACTTTGCTGCAATATTATATTAGGTGAAAACTGAAATGTTGATACAACAACAAATTGTAGTATTGTAAGATCTAACTCTCATAAAGGAACTCCTGTTACAAAACATTTGTGAACAGCGTAATTATTCATTTGACTTGATTTATTACCTACTTTATTAATTTATATATATATATGTTTTTTAATTTATCTATTTTAATTACATGAATATTAATGCAAGGAGCATTCATGTCCACACAAAGGAATCACAACACAGCTGAAATATACCTTGGGTGGTCCCAACAGCGCCATCTAGTGGCCATAACCTGAACCAATCTTTAGTGGATGGGAAAATTTTATCAAAATTTTATATACTTTAATTTATTTGACTTTGAACATAATGTTCTTTGTATCGTATTAAAATTGGCGATTGCTAACAATAAGGTCTTCACAAGGGTACAGTAACATCCAATTTATCTATAATCAAACCAATTCAGTTTGGTGTTAGTATTGATTAATTCAGTCAGGTTCCACCCAGGGCATATATGCAAAGCTAAAACGACACTTTTGTATCGCAATCACATTTTAAACATCGATCCCAAGAAAATCAATACCAACAGCCATTGGAGCCTATCCCTGTAGCCATTGTCAATCTTATCAAACTGTATACTTTGACAACAGAGTGGTATATTGGCCTACTTTATACAAAATACTTTGTAGACCCTTTGTAATTAAGCGCCCAAATAATTAAAAAGTTATTAATTAACTGTTAATTTTATATAATGTAATTCAAAAAATATCACGACATCCGACTTTTAGCGATCGTAAGTAATCCGATTCTTGTTTATTTCCTTACGATGCAAAGAAATATAAGAAAATATTGGGCTCACAAGCAAAAAAAGCCTCTATAGCTACTAACATTATGTAGTTGGTACCATGCACGTAGCAGTAAAATATGGAGGATGCATATTCGATACCATCAAAAATGTCCTCTAAAACGAAATGGGCGGCTACGGTAGACAAAGAATAACTAAATTACGTTGTTTGTAATCGATTTACCGTCATTTTTATTGATAAAAATAGCTTTAAGACAAGAAATGCTGTCATTTGCCACACGATCATACCGCCCTACACACTAATGTTGATGTAGCATAAAATTTAACTTACCTCGTTCGAGATTGACATATTTCACGGAGAAAATAAATATAGATAAAGAAGGGCGAAAACTATATCGATTTTATTCACTTATGATGTAGGATTTAGTTAAGTTTCACAATTTTTTCCACAAAACAATAACACTACGCGCAATCACTATCGAACCACCACACTGAAGTTGTTGACAACGAAATCGTCATAGCCAACATAAGAAAGAAAATTAATCAATTATTTTGAGTAGACTTTAGTACCACCATATCTAAAAATCCGGTGCAATGATCCAACGATAATATTCCCAAAAACATCCGCCTAAAGTTTAAAATTTCAAATAAACCAATATTTTACACCAAATTAACATCAAAACTAACATTAAAAAAATATAAAATATTTTAGCAAGACTTGCGTGATTTTGTCAAAAAGTTTTATAATTCACAAAAAATTAGTTCGAATTTTATATATTTTAATAAAAATCATAATTCGTATATTTTTCTAAAGAAAATTGTAAATTTTAATTTCTCATTAATTTTGATTATTATTGTTGCCACCTTATCAGGCAAAGACAGAAAGACAAAAAATAAATTTTCTTTGAAATTTCATCAATTTAATTAAATCATTATAACACCAATGTATTTCAACAATGTATCAATCGATATCATTATTTTTACAAAAGCTTTAAAAATAAGCTTAACATGTTCCCCAAATTTTATACCCAAATTATGTACTCAAATTGAGTGTGCATGAAAACATAGCGCATTTGCCTGGCACATAGGATACGTTAAATGAACTAGTACAACAATAATCATACAAAAAGGCTCAGGTGATATTAAAATACAGGATATTCCAAGCATCCAAGCCTAAAACACTTAAAGTTTTTCTTCCAGTGTGCACTCAACCTATTTTATAATAATGCAGAAAAATAAACCTCAGTACGATTCAAATGCATTGATATCGATTCTTAGTAAGTTCATGGCCGCACGGCTCTACCTACGCAATTAAAATCTCAACATTGCTTGATATCAAGTGCTAGTATTTCCTATAAATAATGTGAAATAATATCGATCGAAAGATATATCTGCACAAATAATTAAGTATCTCACATAACACCAAAATTATATTTGTTCTCCTTGTCCTTGAGGCCTTTAAAAATTCTCACAATCAAAATCAGAATGCGTTTTCCACATCTGTAAACTCCCTCTACTATGTAATATTGTGAAACAATAAGTACCAAACTTAGTCCTTATAGGGCATCAAATACTCTAGTGGTCACGAGACACGATCACGAATTGTCGGGTCTTATTTGTTTAGTTTTTAAAGTTCCTAATAGTTATACAACCTACCCCCCACTAATTCTTTAATGAATGTTTTAAATTATTCTATAAACATGAAACTTTATACACATAGCAAGAAGTTAGAAATTACCAGTTTAAAGTTACAAGATGTGAGGGGACACAATACAAAAATTATGTCTTTTATACAATTGGTTTAAGCAAAAGTGAACCTGGATACAACTTCCAGTTTTTACTTATCATATCGTAAATCCCATTTTAACCTTTTGCCGTGCATAGACATGAACTTTCGAAGACCGAAAATCCCAATAATGCTTTTCCTAAACTTATCATCAAACATAAAACCATTTACTAGCCAAATACCAGTACACATTTCTGAGAACTGTATCTCTCTATTATTTTCATTCTATAAATAGCACACCACATAACTGGCAACATTACAAAGTTAACGATCAATAACATTTTCGATGTTGGTAACTTTGACGTCAGTCAATGTGACAAGAATATCATCGTCGTTTATACGTCGATGTCATTGTCAAATCGTTGTCTTTGTCAATGTCAAAATTATAATGTTGCCAGTTGCAAAATTACGAAATTTCTTGCTATCAAAAAAATGTGTCTGTCAATGTCAATTACGTTTGATTGTCAATATTACAAATTTCAAAGTTGAAGTTGTCAGTTGTCAAGTCGAGTTGTCATCAGTCAGTCAAATCATTGTCAAGCAAGATGCACGAGCAGGATTGTGCAGTATTTTTTTAACTTTATTTTTAACGACTGATAATAACTATTACAAGCGTTTTTATAGTCATGGCATCTTATAAAGTGTTTAAAAAATCATTCGTGATGGCAATTATTATAAGTGCTATAGTTTTTGTATTCTTCTGGGCGAACATGGAACTTGTCAGGTAATATTTTGTTATTTTTTTATTTTCTTGCATAACTCACTTGAAATATAAACAGTATTTCGCTGCTCATTACCACTAGGTTTAGTTTCGCATAAATAATTAAGCTAGAATAAATTAAATGCATATAATAAACCTATACCAAACAAAGAACCAATTATTATCTGAGAAAACTCGCAATTATTTCATATACTACATAGTTACACTATCTCATGAAAGGCCACAATCACGTGAAAATTGTAAAATTATCCGGCATAATGTAAAATTCTGATCTCTTTTTACCTAATATGCCTTTTGCCAAAACATTATATAAAGCATTTTTTATTAGCCACTGAGCAAAACCTTGCCTTCGAGAATTTCCTAATTCTATAAATAATAGAATGTTCTTATTGGCCAGATTAACCAATGGGCTGCTGTTGACTATTATACCAAATTAATTTAACACTAGGAACATGTTTATTATGTTTTCAGTTTACTCACATTACTATTTGAACTTCACTAGGTTCAGGTCATGCTAGAGACTTATATTCATGAACAGGTCTGTGAGTAAGAGTAAAGCCTTTTATAAATCACTGTAGACCTGATCTTTATCAAATTATATAGACCCAAAAAGATGACTAGAGCCATGTGTCGTAAATGAATGACTAGAGCCCAGGACTCAACATATATTTGGGAAGTTAGTAATTACCACTCTATTATACATACTTACTTTGATCTTTTAAACTTAACCACATATTTGAGTTCAAAGCAAGAGCAGTTTTCTGTTTTAATAAGTATATATCACTAATGAGAACACCGGTTATTTAATCCAAATGTTATAAGTACCACTTAATTTTGTATTCATGAACATTGTTACAAGTTTATGTTAAAATGATTCAATTACAGTTTAAGCCAGATGTTATCCAAGGCCTTTTGATTTATCCTCATATTCAGTCCGATTTAAGGATAAAACAAAAAGTAAATTGTGATACATACAATATCTATTTCAATTTGTGATTGGTGATCAAAATAGAGAATGACTAATGTTATTGTACCTAATTCATGTTTCTAAATAATACAAAATGTAGCATTCATAATTTAATTATGCACTATATTATCACTTATCATACCTGTACTTACCTGTTGTTGTAATATCTCTGGTTATAATGAAAATACTTATAAATATTTGCATATTTCTCTTCTATACCAAAGCATTTCTGACTGTAAATATGGAAATTAATATTATATCTACCTATGTTAAGAAAACGAAACCAACTCTGGATGAAGAACTACATCAATATAATTTTTAAAGGAAAGAAGAATACGAATTTTCAGTCATTATTTTATTTTGTTGTATAGTTAAACAGTCTATTGTTTGCTTGTCTATCTATGTTAAAGCCATTGTTGTGTTACATGGATGATGGGGTAATTTTCAAAACACTTTTACCTCTAATTTTAAAAAGATTATATTTATTTGTATTAACATAGCATGTTTGAACATAGCTTATTTATTAATTATTGTGGTAGGAGTTAAGAGCTTCAGGTGATAATATGGAGTAATAAGAGGATACTACTGTTTTTTATTTAGCAGATAACACTAAGATGTGTTTACACTATTCAATGAATGGACACTACTTATTAAGTAAATACCTTATTAACCTTAAAATACCTAATGAGTATTAGTGTCCGTAACGAAAAATTTTCGCGCATTAGTCCCCATTGCCTGGGGTGAGCTTGTATAACTGCAAAATCTATATTCTTATTCTTAGTGCCACCTTAATTTCTGCAGAGTGTGGTCACGGTGGAAAGCCTTGGGGTGCTGTCAAGATCAAAAATTACTTACTTCAATTAACTGTCGTAGAAAATAAACATCTGCTTTAAAACTGCGGGGCTTATGCCCGAATACTGAAAAGCTACTCAATTTAAAGTCGCGCTTATGTATAGTTCTGTCACTACATTTTTTTTGTAAAATGACAGAGATTGCACGATATTTAACCTATTGAATGGCCGTATATAACACACTAGAAAAAACATTGTGTTTCGCATGTTTAACCCATATATCCCCAAGCGGAGACCGGTGAACACTCTCCACTAACTACATTATAGACCTTATTTTCAATAGTTGGAGACTACTTGTGTATGAACAAATTTAGGGGATCATTTTCAACAGGTTAAACACACTATGGGTGTGGAAGTGCAACTTAAGATTCAGTAGCCTTTCAGTTTACTTTTTTTATATATTTGATGGGCCGACGTTTAGCTACTATCTCGCCTGATGGTAAGCGATGACGCGATTTACGATAGAGCACGTAGTCCCATAAGCAACCTATTCACTCGTGCCTTGAAGACACCCTTCAAAGGAAAGACAGACAATCCGGACTCCAGTAATAGTAATAGTAGTAATAGTAAGACTTTGGAAATCAAACGTCAGCAGTAATGCAATGTTCAAACTCAAACTCAAACTCAAAAGCATTTATTTCAATTAAACCATAATTTGGTACTTTTGAAACGTCAACAAATATGAAATATATAATAGTCTGTCAGTCTGTCCGTCAGTGAAGCTAGGCGCTCGTTCCAAAATGTCGATTCGAGTGGAGAAGAACGAGCAAGAAACTCCATTCGTTACTCTTTTAAAAAAATTCTGTTTACATTGCTCTGATACATATTCCAATATTGTACACACATCTGAGAATAATGTAAAGACATACCTGACGCAACATACAAATAACAGAACATACTAAAATAGAGAAAAAAAAACAAAACCAAGAGAAAACAAATATCTTAAGTCTGACATGGTCCTCACATATGTACCTCTATACTGACAATTCTCTTCTGACTGTTCTGACTGTTCATCTATGTATTAGAGATGCAAATATGAACAATATTAATAATACAGTGAAACTTGGTTAAGTGGGACCTGGATAAGTGAGAAACCTCCATAACTGGAACTAATGCTGAGGTCCCAACACTTTGGCACTGAATTACCTCTGTTAGTGGGACGAGGTAAAATTCTATATCTGGGATTTGTTCTTTCGATTTATCATCATAGTTACCTCTATAACAAAGAAAGCGAGTAAATTTTATATGCATAAACCTCTGTAACTGAGATAACATTGTTTGTTTACTCATTCTTATTCTACCCACAAATTCCACACGTAATTCAAAGTCCACTTGTATTAATGGAACCCTCTGTAAATGAGACAGATATTTATTTATACCTGTATATCTGAGACACTGGGTAAGTGGAATACCTCTATAAGTGAAACGACATTGCGGGTCCCTTGATGTCTCCCTTAACCAGATTTCACTGTACTTTCCTATTAAAATATTTACAGTTTATTAATTAGTCCTTAGACATTGCATAGTAGGTTACCGGGGCTGCGGGTCGACGTGCAGGAGAAAGAATGGGGTGGTTTTTAGTCGTCACTCTGTGTGTGAAGAGTCTGACACTCCCTCCTGCCTCACCCAGGCGGGAGCAGTCATTCGATGATTTTCCCCCTTAAAAAAAGACATTGCGTAGTAACCAAATAATGTAAGGCTATTGTCCACTTTTAGCATATTTCATTATTTTTAACTTACTGTTTTTGCTATAATTGGTTTAACTCGTCGAGTACCGTCATTATAGACACAATTATAGAACAATAGGTTGCGGTCACCGGTGACCGCTTGGTGTTTGACAGTTTAAAAATATTAATTGTATTCACAATGACTTACGATTCATTTTCTCTACATAAGCGCATTATTACAACTACTTTCACGGTTTCATATTTGTGTAAATAGTTCTATAATCGTTTTTCATATTTGTGTATTTCTATAATCTATTATCGTCATGTTGTCACTATTTATGAAAGACGTTGTCTCCTATGGAATCTACATTCTTTAGGGTTCTTGAATAGGTAAAATAATAATAAAATATTCAAATTGTTCAAATTGTTTATTATCTCAAGAATTACGATATCTTAAACATTCAGGTATCTCCAGTAAGTTATTATTCAATAGTTATGTTGGGCCTAACTCGCTCCTTCCTTCCTTATTGAACTAATTTATGAAAAACAAAAAAGATAAACTGGACAAAAACTATAAAATATGGTACCCAGAACATTATGACATGCTAAAAGCTATTTAACTATTTACTGTATAATAATTGGTACTATCTATGTAATAATTGGTATTACACAGAAAATATCTAATTACGAAAGAGAAACCAAAGAACTTGATTATTATTTTTTTTAATTTATAATAATCTTTGTTCTGAAAAAATGCTATGCTTTATTGAAACTATCACCATTTAAAAGCTCACTTTTGATGAAATCGGCCATTTTGTGTCGCGAATCGCGATATTCCTAAAGGACCGTGTTCAAAGTATTGATTAAAAACACTACGTTATTTTCGAAGCTATTTTCATTAGTCCATTAGTAATCCTTATCTAAAAGAATACATTCATTAGGTTTGGTATCTTACACAGATTGAAATTTTCCTTAAGACTTTGTGAATGAAAGATATTATTTTTATTTTGAAGTTTCATGACCGCAATCGGTCACAATTTTGATAAGTCGTCTTCAAGCTTTTTATGTTTTGATTTTTATATCTGGATTAACCTGGACATAGTTACTTAGCCTCGTAACTGCTACTGAAGGAAGATCTCTTGTACCTCAAAATGGGTAGAAAGCTAGTTCTGAAATAGGATGACATAACAGCACGCCTTTTTATCCCCGAAGGTGTAGGCACAAAAGTGCACATTACGGCACCTAATCCCACTGTACAATATAACACCCACTTTTCACTATTTCTGTTATGAGTCCCATGTAATAGGGGTGAGCCTATTGCCATATACCGGGCACATTTCCAGACTACTACTGAGATTTTTAAAAACCCAATTATACTTTACCCGACCCGGGAATCGAACCCAAGAGGCAAGACCCCTCCCTCGACAGTCGCACTTACGACCACTCGATCAACGAGGCAGTCTATAGAGGCTGTAATAGAATGCTTGATATTAAATTTATTTGTACTCAACAGCTCAGGGATGATGAAAGAAATTCCACTGAATGTGAAGAATAAGCTGTGCCGCGTGAACTTCAAGGACCAGAGGACTTATGTGAACAAGACGTCGGACTTGAAAATGATATATTTTGTGACACCCACGTACCCTCGGCCGGAGCAGGTACCAGAACTGACTAGGCTGGCCCACACACTGATGCATGTCCCGCGATTACATTGGATCGTAGCTGACGATCAACCAATTTGCTCCGATGTCGTATTTGATATACTAAGGTTAGTATGCCACACATATCCTTGTCATCATATTGAGTATTGCTACGCTACTTCCTATTTATATTACAAATGCGAAATTTACTCCTTGACGCTAAATCTACTAATTTGATCTCAGCGAAAGGCTCAGACATAGTTTAGATATAATGTGGAATAACATATAAAGTAACGTCTTATTCCGGCGATGTAAGCGTAATCGCTGGCAGAAGATAAGTAAATAAGTGCGAAATTATGTTTGTATTTTTTCTCGTGTGTCGTGGTTGCGTTTAAATACAAACATACAATTTTTTTCACATACACATAACACCCAGACCCGGAACCACAGTTTATGGATCACACAAAGGTTGTTCCGTGAGAGAATCGAACCCGCGACATGTTGCGATCAATTTTTGTCAATAGCAATACGAGGCCTTCGGTGGGGAGATGAGAGATAGTGTCAGACTTCTGCTTCGGTAACCAGCTATGTCATCCATAGACCTGGTAACTAATTAGCTCCGGAGGAAATAGGAGACTGAATAATGATTTAGGTTATCTTTCATCAGATGAAATGAATGCGTCAATGTTAAGTAATAATGCGTTAGATCGTAGCCGTTCAACGTGCGGAAATTGGTTCTAGTTTATACAAGACAAGGCCACTTCTATATACCTTTATACATAGTACCTAAAGTAAAGTGATCACCTAAATGATCTATCATTATGTTCAATTTGCCGTAGAACACGTACGCTCCTATATAGTAAGTGGGTATGTAGCTAACTACATGTAAGTACATACTACATAGTAACATACATAGTAGGTAAATAGTTCATGATACAAATTGGACTTACAACCTTGACAACAATGGATTCATTGTTGTCAACGTTTTAAGTCCTTGTTTATTAATAAGGTTAAAATAAAAACGATTTTAGCTATTATATATTGTACTGTTAATTACTGTTGTCGTGGGTCGATTTCCTATATTGTTAGGTCTTCTATCGTTTATGATTTAAAGTTATAGTAATTCTTTAACTATTTATTGGTATTTGAAGTAAGGTGCGCCTTACGGATCTTGCCCTACTAGGCCGTTCCAAACAATTTGAATTACGAACTATAAAAATATAGTATTTAACTTTTAATAATAATACTAATAAATTTTCCAGACGATCGGGATTACCTTACACGCACATATCGAGCCCGAAACCATTCAAGTATCAAATCAGTAATTTTCCTCGAGGGGTGGCGAACCGGCGAGCAGCGTTAGCCTGGCTCAGAGACAACGTCCATGAAGGAGTCCTGTACTTTGGAGATGATGACAATACGGTGGACCTGCAGCTCTTCGATGAGATCAGGAATACGAAGAAAGTTTCAATGTTTCCTGTCGGCCTGATCGGGGATTATGGAGTTTCCAGTCCGGTTGTCACAGATGGAAAGGTGAATATATAATCCTACTAATTTTATAGATGCGAAAATTTAGGATGTACGAATGTATGCCATTTTTCTGTTCTTAGAACTGAACAGGTTGTACGAGTCCATACATACTTAAATTTTTTGCTATATTACATTACTGAGTACTAAGAAGTGTAAAAAGTACCTACCTTCACATCAGGTACATCATATTACGGATGCGACAAGAAAAGCAAACATTTTGTAAGCATTTAATGCCTTTGACCCGAATTTATGCAGTTATCATCTTAACATAACGACACACGTTTTAATCAGCGAAGGGGTAGTCAGAGGTGCACATATAGAATGCACCATGGACTTAACAGCTATAATTTAGTCCCATGTATGACTGGAGAACTGGAGACTGGGAACTGGAGTGAGCCATTTGTTTAGGCGTTTGCTAACTTAATTTTGATATTTATCACCTGTAGTCACCGCAATAGAGCAAAGGTTAACCGAACTGATGACGGTGCCAGTTTAAGACCTATGCCTATCGTAAGTTTATTTATACATAAAAGTCAAGGAAAAATATTGTGAAGAAATCTCGACATAGATTCATAATTATAATTTAAATTGTAGTTAAGTATGAAGCAGCCAATCCACATTAAGTAAGCGCTGTGATTAATTCTCATATCCTCTCCATGCGAGAAGATACACGTCTTTTTTTTAAATATTTGATGGGGCGACGTTTGACCACTATCTCGCCTGGTGGTAAGCGATGATGCGGTCTACGATGGAGCACGTCGTCCCATAAGCAACCTATTCACTCAGGCCTTGAAGACTCCCAGGTTATACCCTTCAGGAAATACAGACTCTGGCAAAGAATTCCACTCTTTAGCAGTACGCACAAGGAAGCTTGATGCGAAGCGCTTCGTGCGTGTGGGCGGATCATCTACCATGAATCGGTGACGTCTTTGGAGACGTACTATCGAGACCGCTATTGGTAGTATAGATTACTATCTATGGGGATGATAAATAATATAAATACGGATTAATTATAAACCAGTTTATGTACCCAAAAAATACAGTGTTCACTTCAAAAAGAATTTAGTTTATTTTAGTAAAATTAAAGGATCTAGAACATTGAATACATGTGCAGCAATACGCGACGCATTTTCTGTCAGATGTGAACCGACCCTTATAAAATCCATTTATGAATTGTGGATATATCGTTATAACTACTTAACGTGATGAATAATTTACTAGACTTTCAACAATACTATTTCCTATTTCTAATTATAAGGAGAATAGGATGACGAATGATTGTCATAATTGATGAATAGCGCGCCGCATAATTTAATTATTATAATCTATGGAAATGGCAATAGCCGGAAATTAGAGTTGAGAAGCGTAGCTGTGCTCGCCTCAAGTCCAGTGGGAATGAGCGAAATTCACGCAACACGTAACATCTATATTTTAACTGTATGACACACTGCGTACTTTTTTTAATTATAATTATATTAACTGTATCTACAATTTGTAATTCCAGGTGGTGGCCTTCTTCGACTCGTGGGTTGGCTCTAGAACATTCCCCGTGGACATGGCGGGTTTCGCCATCAACATAAAGTTTCTGAAGGACACCGCTTACATGCCGTACAAGACCGGACTAGAAGAAGACAGGTTCCTAGTAAGTCTAGGTTTAAAATTCGACGAAATTGAACCTCTCGCTGACAATTGCTCAAAAATATTAGTCTGGCATACGAAAACTTTAAAAAAGAAGAAGCCTAGTCTAAAGATTGACGTTAAAATGTTTGAAAATTCCCAAAAGTACCGAGATTTTGCAGGTTTACTTAAAGAAACTTCGAGGTTAGGCATGGCGGATGTAAGTTCTATAAATGGTTCAAATGCTTACATTTTCCTACCGAAGCAACATAAGTTGACAGAAACTTCTATGGTAGCCCCAAATAGCTCTAAGTAATCATTTAATGTCGTCCATCTACTGCAAGTACTCGGTAATGGTCAAAAGTCATCAACTACGGGTTAAAACTCTTCATAATTGTCTTGACGAGTTCCAGTAATTGCAAACGTATTTATTGCTATTTGAACTTAAAGTATCTGAACATAAAGTTCATTACAATTATGGAACATGTAGCTATTTGTTAATGAATTACCTACTGCAGTAAATCTGTAAAACAATTTACAGTATTCATCGTCATTATCAAATAGACGTAATTCACTTTTACATTATCCTAGTGCTAGTTGAACGATAAATACATGTTACAGTACCTACCTAGTTAGATAGATAAATCGATTGTTTAGAAGAATGCCTGACTGAAATTTCAATAAGTTAATGTTGTCAAATTGTCAATGTAGTTCGTTCCAAAATTAGGGTCACCTGCACTAACCAGCAGAGTACTATAGTAACTGTCCTGTTTCAGTGGTTGATGAAGACAAATAGTGATGTGAATGTTTTCTACTATTTGTATTCGTCTACTCATTCATAAAGTTCTCATTATGGCTTAAAATGAATGAAGCCATAGTGACGTCACTTTGTGCCTCCAAAATTGAATACTAGATGTAACTGTTGCTACTAATTTGGTAAGTGTGTACGTCGTTATTGGAATATAATTTAAATTCGATTAATGTGATAAATGTAAAAACATTCCGTTGGTTCGTAGACTGAAAAAAGTAATGTTAAAACTTATATTAGTGTCATTAAACATTTGACACAGAATGATGTTAATTTCTTCTTCTTTACAATAAATTGTAGTAACTTTTGAAAGACTGAATCGATTTAAACGACGAAATAAGACTAAATTGTTACTCGTTACGCACAATATTTGTGTATGTAAGTCGGGAGCATTGAAGATGGCGCTTTTAACGTGTTACGCACACAAACATACAAAAAGAAGAACAATATAAAACATTGATGCCCTGTTCGCACTACGTTTAGTCGAGTAGCGAGTATTTAGTAGCTCTTGGACAGAAGCGAGAGAGACAGACAAAGTAAACACGTTCCCCCGTAATTACAATAAGTGTACTATAGTGTTCCGGAAGATCGGTTACACCAGTGATATTGGGTGCAATCAACTAAAATTATCTAAACAAAAATAGCTGTAACAACGGGAGCTACAGTGTAGAATATAATGCAATAGGTGTTAAACGTAAACAAACCTGTTTATTACTTCTAAAAACTGCACAGTGGACCTGATTCAAATAAACATCTTATCGCAAAATAACATAAACAATACAATTACTTAGTGGTAAAGTGATTTGTTAATTTTCTACATCTACCGCCTTATTTTAACATTTGAAAGTACAGACAATACCGCCAAGAAATCAGCGCCGCCCATGGGCACCACGCGTGCGTTGCCGGCCTTTAAAAAAAGGAATACGCTCTTTTCTTGAAGGTTTGAAGGTTGTATCGTTCCGGAAATATCGCCGACGACAGATCATTCCACAGTTTTGCTGTTCGAGGCAGAAAGCTACGAAAGAAGCGCACAGTTGTGGCCTGCCAACCAGCTATATAATGGGGATCGATATGCCGTCGCGAGCGTCGATGGTGAAAACACGCGGCAGGTATCAGACCATACAATTCCTTAGAGCACTCCCCGTGGTATGAGCGATAGAAGATCCACAAAGAAGCTACATCTATGCATTGTCAAAGTGTCTACCCGGTTTGAAACACAACAACCCGAACTGCACACCACTGAACGCGGTCCAGAGGAAGAAGCTGGTACAGGGGTGCCCCAACCAACGATGAGGACAGTATTTCATGTGGGACCAAACCTGCGCCTTATATAGAAGCAGGCGATGAGCCGGGGTGAAATACTGCCTCAATCTATTGACCACCAAGCTTCTTCGAGGTTAATCTGGTGAAGGTGCTAATAAAATGTTGGAATTTCTGTTGAGGATTCCGTCTGAATTTAAGGTTTTTGGAGCTGTACTCTCGAGCCTGGTGAAAGCACGGAAGGACCACGTAGGCGTAGGAAATTATTTGCTATGACAATCGGCGATACAAAGCGAGCCTCTGAAGCATCAACGGCAAGAGCGATGCAACCAAAGTAATTAATATTGTAATAGATTACATGTTTTTCCTATATGCTAGTCTAGTAAGTGTTTTGGCTCTCGCTATTAACTTCCATTTTAATGTCAATAAATAAATACTCGCTACTGGACTAAAGTATCTAAGGGATCGTAGTGCGAACTGGACATTAATACGTGGCGAACTCTCGCTGGGTTCCGTACCATTATTTATAAAATGGGCAAAAATCTTGAACTGAAATAATTGTGTATTCATGTTGTATATCGACAACAGAGTTCTGTAATGGTATAATATTATATGTGAAAGGAATAGGAGAAAACTTTCATACGTTTCTGCGTTTCAGAAGTACCTCTACACATAACTACACTAATACTAAACATTGGCAAAGGTTTTATATAATCTGTTTCTACTATCATAGATGGCCGACATCTATTCTTCTTCCATATACAAAAACATATTTTCTATTCGGACCAGTAGGTCCACAGATTAGTGTGTTCACAAAAACAAACTCTTCAGTTTTATATATTGGTATAGTGTAGTATAGATGACATACAGATAGACGATTTGCGGAGTCTTAATATAGATTTTTGCCCTTTTGGATGCGGAACCCTAATTGTGTGTCGTTTTCAAATATTATAGAAATGTGGTGAATTTACTTGAGTCCTGCATAACGTGTCGGGTTCAGTAAGAAAAGTGGGGTTACTGTTGAAACTGTTGATAGGTCGGTTAATATTTGATGATAGGTTAAATCTCGAATCAACGCCTTGTGTTTATGTACCAAGAGCGTTTGATGTAATTACCGTATTGTTTATAAACAATCATTAAAACGTGCTAAGTAGAACGTTTTGAGCATTGATTTTAAATTAGGAAGAGAAAACAGGAAGAAATTTTTGAGTGAAGGGTTTTCGTTTATGCGCTCATGAGATGGCGCTAGTGAGCGTAAGGTCGTTCTAGCACAATCAAGTTTGTTGACACAAGTCGTCTAATTATTTGACGTTAATAATATTATATTATGCAGTAGACCTTAAACTACACTAGCGCCTCTAGTGGCCTGAAGAGCATTTTCGTCTTATTTTTGATTCAGCCAGTCGGCATTCTTCCGACCTCAGTAGATATTAATGCAAAGAAACTGTAACATGTATTTATTGCACACGCATTAAAACTTTTGCTAACACCTGATCTACAGAAGCAACCAATCATAGCGCCTAGAATGTGGTCTCGTTTCGATCGTGTTGGACTCAAAACACTTTATTTAAACCAGCTTAACGAACATGTTTCACATATATATAATCTCATAATTTAACTATTAACTCAGATCAATAGATAACGAATAAAGATCTGAAAACACATTTAGAACTGTCTAGGTGTATAAGTAATTTAGCCTAAACTTTATGTAGGTAGACTATCACCGCTACTGGCGGATAATTAACCTCTAGGTGATACGAAGGATGGCAATGGTTTAGTCGGTTGTTACCACCTATTCTTTCCAAAAATATCACATTTTCCCAACTTTGTATAGTTTTATTAATATTCATTCTGTTGATGGTGAGATTTATGCTAGCTGGTTTCGGTATTTTTTTTAATGTAATGTTCTTGAATTACTCTCTTACGCTTAGTGTTGAGAGACCTCGACACTAACGGTCTTATTAATAAAAATCTCCTATTCCAAACTTATTCACAGGTTAGTCTTGGACTAGCTAAACCCGGACTAACAAAGTATTAACTTCAGAATTGAATTCCTATTAATAAACATGGAATAACCTCGGAATAACAATACTATCCTTATACTAGGTTTAATCCTTTTATTATGGTAACCCAGAAATTTTAAAAGTAAAAAGACGGAGAAGGAGGTGTGAAATCGTATAAAACCTATGAAATCACTGCTTTATTGACAGATGTATGTTAGCTTGACATCTTGACAAGTTGCTGTCGCTGTCAGTTTTGTCGAAAAATTATTAATTTGTTTACTTACATAATTAATATGCAATTCAATTTATAAATAACGAAAAACGAGCGAAAAGCACAGCCGCGCTATTAACTAGCGCAAAGAACAAAAGGTAAATACTCCCGATGCCTGTTAATTATGGCGTATCTTAACAAAGAAAAAATGTCTTCATATTGTTTATATATTTTTAGATTTCAGCCATAAAATTATAACGCCTCGGTTCCAAAATAATATTTTCAAATCATTGAAAATAAATCGTTAAGCACAAACACCAACACAATCAAGATAAAAGAGTGGGAGGAAATATAAATATACCCTATACAAGGTAAGATTTTTTCAGCATTTTTATTTTATTCCATTTGTTCAGATCTTTGTTCAGAGATAATAAGCATGCAGATGCAGCCGAATATGTGGGCAGTGTATATTATGTTAACCTATAGTATCTGAATCACATAATGCTGTACAGTTATTTGGCTAAACATAGCTACATTTTATCATATTTACATTCATTTTATGTATTTTTTAGGTTTAACGAGTTGAATAGCAGACGTGAGTTAAATCAGCTGAAAATTCAGTAGAAAGCCATGAAGATCAATGCTCGAAAACAAGAAGCTAAGGCAACAGGCCACTTGGATTGATATTTACCTCTCCATGGGCCTATGTTCCGATTGCACTCAAAACTTTCAAATGGGGTGGTATAAAGCCACCTCTGGCGTCACCAGCTAGATTATTTTTACCATGTCAATAATAAAAACTGCAGTAAATCGGTATTTTGATTTCTCTTCTTCTTCACGTTCCTCTATCTTACTAATATTTTATAAATACGAAAGTTTGTATGTTTGTGACTTCTTCACATCAAAACGGTTGAAGGGATCGAGATGAAAATTGATACAGGGGTCTATTATGGTCTGGAACTCTAAAATAATACGAAGGCTTTTTATTCCACGGGAACGCGGGCGAAGCCGCTGGCAGAAAAGCTAGTCATACACACTTCTGTAATCATCTCTAATCTCATCAACTCTAATTCTCTCAATAACTCAGATATTGAATAAAAATAATATCTATACATTTTACCACGTTTTATAATGATAGTATAACTTTTTGTGTAAAAAAGTTGTTGCGTTTTTACATAAAAATCGAATCCATACTAATGAGAAAGTGTGTGTGTCTGTTTGTTTGTCCGTCTTTCGTGACAAAACAAAGCGAATTGACGTGTTTTTAAGTTGAGATAGGTACTTGAAGGGATAGAAAGTGAGATGGGCTACTTTCTATCTCTTTCTAGCCCCCCGCTTCCCTAAAATGGTGGGTTTATACAAAGCGTTTCACAATTTTCAAGTTAGAAAGATTAAAATTGGTATTTTGACTATTTGTAACTAACAAAAAACTTAGTGGCTTCATATTTATACAAATCTTCCCCTAACTCCATAAATGAGCACGAGCGAAACAGTGGACAATAGCTAGTAACTTATAATCTACACTAATATTATAAATAAGAAAGATAATAGTTCTGTCCCGGAAATTCCACGGCAAAGGTCCTATGTGTTAATATTCCGGAACTCTATCTTTTAAATCATTGAACCTATTTTATTGAAATTCGGTACAACAGTGGTTTGCAACCCGGTAAAGGACATTAAATAATTTTTATCACTGATAACTCACTGGAATGACGGATAAAACCCATGTGCGAATGCTTATTTTTTGAAAAAAAGAATTCATTTTACAATAAATATAACAAGTACTGAATCGATTTTGATAATAATTGTTAAAAAGCATTAGAATTAACCTCGGAAAAGACTTATTCAAAAATCCACATTCTGCCAGAAGGCATTATAATACGCGGACGAAGTCGTGGGGTATAGCTAGTCTCGTACCTATATACTTAGTAATGCCGCAACGCAAGGAAATAGGTTATAATAAAATAGGTTTTATCTGATAATGCCGTACACCACTCGATACTGGTCATCAAAACCATATTGGAAACTCGATGGAAACTCGGTTGTCAATAAAGAAGAAAAAAATATCTATCAACAAAATGTCAAAATGACACTAATCCAAGCTTACACCGTCGCTAAACCATGTGGCACCATGGACTAACTTTTATTCTCAGACTAACGTTGGAATAGCTTACTCCGACGTTACTCCTTGTTTATTAATACCGAATTTGACTATTCTGAGTTTATACCATGGAGTAAAGTTATTCTTACTCTATTCTATGTTTATTAATAAGAGGGTAAGTGTCTGATATGCAGGGTTGGTGTATGGAAAACTCTGCAGAAGTGTGCATTACAATAACTAGATGGCGTTACTGGGCCTTTTGACAGTTAACTTTTTAGTTCCTAAACCTTCTACTCATAATGGTTATTATTGGTTATGTAGCATTGTCATCAATATTCGAAAATAAAAATGTAAAAAAATACATTTGTTATAATAATGTAAGTGGTTATTTTAATAGTAATTCGGTTATATATTGCAAATTACTAACGAATTAGGTGAAACGTAATGTTAGAGAGAATTAGATATCTACCAAGTTAATCTCCTAATTTAAGGGTAAAAGTTAATCCAGTGTGATCTTAGATAGAAAAAAAATCAATAATAATAAGTGAAACGAAAAATTTATGAATAAAAAGTAGCAGTTTGAAGTTTTGAACAGATTTTATTTAAAGTCATTTTTATTTATGCTTTCTGTATTGAAGCTTCTTGGATTGTTCTAATTCTATATTCTTTTACCGAGCTAATCTGCTGAAGTAGGCTAAAGTAATATTGAAATTTTCGGTTACAAAAAAGTGTCTGTTTAATTTGAAACCACCAACAACATGTAACTGTTTTTGTTCTTTTCCTGAATTATTTATAGACGCTTGAGTAATAATTTCATGAAGTCATGATACGACTATTGACATTAGCATAGTCCAACGTCAATCCGACAAATCTTAAATGATTATAACAGATCGAGATGACCTCTTACATTTCAATTAAACATTATTTTAAAATTGTTTTGGTGATAAAATCTATTTTATTACGGTACTATAACTGAAAAAAATAGCTATTTTAAAGGTAGAGAAATCATTATAATTACGTGTTCATGCCTAATTAGTTTATGAGCATACAATCAATTTGTAATAGATAATAATCGGTCATACTTCCAACCAATATTCAATTTAAGTATAGATTTTCTTAGGCTGCAGACAGTTTCAGATATAGACGTTGAATTAATTGTTAACAAGTTACCTAGTCTAGTTAAAACTCGTTTAAAATTCATAGTTACTTACTTTCACCTCACTAGATGGCGTTGTTTTCGTCCACGCCATTCACTGAAAAAATCTTCATCGCTACTTGACTGTTGTTCGTACGTAAACATACGTTATAAAAGTATGGATGGCTTGTATTATTCTAAACTTTAACCAAATAATAGTCAATAAGTATACATATGACACTTAGCTTTCCATTTCTTGATCAAAGTACATAATATGTATCTATCACATATGCACATTTTGATCTTCCCATAACTGATACTTGACCTTTATAACAGACTGAAAGGCTCAATATTAAGTCGCGCTTAAGTATAGTTCTGTCTCTACAATTTCTCTGTAAAATGACAGAGATGGCGCGATATTTAAGTACAACTTAGAATTGAGTAGCCTTTCAGTATTCTGTATTATACCAATTTGAAGCTTAATATTATGGATTTAAATAGCAAAAATATATTATAATAGAAAGTCATTTAATTGCAACTAAGATCCCTAGTTCTTCCGGTGTTTTTGGTTATATAAACCGTTTTTGAAGTATAATGGTTACAATTTTATTCCGTTATGGTGATATTGTATAAATATTTTGGTCAAGGGATAGTACTTTTTTCGTAAATACGAGGTTATTTGCTTGGTTACAGTATCTAGGTTACGTCACGATAATTATTATTATTGTAAACTTGTATTAACCTATTTATGTTTTACCAGCTAATACTATTATCTGTACTGATAATATAAGATGAACAAACTTGATTTACTTCGAATATGGACGTAAAAACTGTATTTTTTTTAGATTTCAACCTTGTTGTTTTAGTAGTAAGGTCGATAATACATGACGTATATAACACTATCTGTTTTGCTTAATATGAACAAACGCATGAATGATTTCAGGACTTTCAAACTATTTTAAATATGCATTTGTATCCATGCTTGGCAGAGAATGGAATGGTGTTTAATTTTATATATATTTTGGCTTACCGTTAGACAATTTGTTCCCTTCAATCTCGAAAGTAGTATATAATATATATATATGTGATTTATAATTTATATATATCTTACAAGGTACTTACAATATACCTAGTTATGTCAGCACCAATTATAAGAGGTTCAGTTTCATATGAGAACACACTACCAGACTAGATATTTTTGTATATTAAGTGAGAATCAATTTCTTTTATAAATCTGTTATTTTTTACTTAGTTAATTAAGTATAAACTTGTTACAATATCGTTGTACATATTTTTTGTGCATTACTCTTTTAATAACGTACCATCGGCAACGTTACGGTACTACAGTTTTTAAACAAAATCTTGCGGCAATCTCGCTATCCACCTGGTGGTAATACATTTACAACTTTTCATTATACCTTATTGCTTTAAAGTTCAAAATACAGTATCACATTTTTAATGGAAATAGTACAGTTTTAATTGTTTTTGTTTCTTTTTGCCTTTTTAATCATAATCTTGCTGACAAAAGCGTATTTTTAAGTAATAATTTTCTTAAATTTTACGTTAACTTTGTTTTAAGATATTACACCAAAAAGAGGAGTTAGTTTTTAATGTATATTTTATAAAGAATCTAAACCTACGTAATGTGTATCAACGACAAAAGTCGTTTGATAATATTTGAAAATTCCAAATTTTATTAAAACTAAATTTATTTTTTTATACAGGGTTAGTAATTTGATCATTCCCTATTTGGAGACTATATTGTTTAATTTTTATTCGAACTAACCCAAAATGAGATTTTAATGTGTGATTTAGGTTAAGTTTAACTTTTTTCAGTAATTATAATTAATCATGATTATATAATATTGTTTTTAAGTACAACTTTTACTTATATTCGATGTGACAATTGACATATTTCAGTAAAGCGTGTCCAACCGCCGTACTCAATTATTTAACGGTTACTTAACAGAATCTAAGGACTGTCTTAGCAATGAAGGTTTCTGTTTTTACTCACCAGGTGGCCCTAGCAAAAAGCCTTTTTGTCTATTCACTGCAGCTGTCAAAAACTGAACTTCCATTGATGTTACACTCGCTAGTTCCCTATTGGACGAAGTACGAGAGACCCACACTAACCTCTCTGGTGAACAAAAATATAGAACATTGTTATTAGATTCAAAATCGTTACTAAATAATACAGTTTAAGTAATCATTAAATTTCTTTGAATACGGCGCTGCGGCCGAAATTATGCGGCGTTATGGCAGAAATACATTATCGAGGCGCGTCAGTAGCCTGTCGGTTTCCATATAGTCTTAGAACTGCTACTGAACCCTCCAAATGAACCGTAACCAGTACAAACTAACCGTTGAATGTTCTGAAAAATCATACAAAACGAGACCATGATCAACTGGTGGAAAAAATTTTGTGATAAGAAACGTTTTTTTTTTAAATGGATGACTATTGACTGCTATTTCGTGGCTATTGCCATTAACAACTTCTGAATCATAATCCTACAAATGTCTAGCTTTACAAGACAAACTTTATTTGGTGGCTTCAGTGGCTCTTAGACTAATATAATACAT